TATTGCTTCAAACAAGAAACCCGTGGTATGGATTGGGGTTGTCTTTCGGACTGGCGAATGCGAAAAATTGTTCAAAATTAAGAACGGTGAAAACACCGGATCATGATCGTCTACTTACAGTCGCATCTAATTTGAAAGCATGCCTAACAACGGAGCTAGCCATCGACTGGAGCCCGACCGACGAAACATTGCTTACTCCTCCTTTGGTAAACTAAAGTCACGCGGTACATTCCAGCGTTCCGTGATCATTTGCGCGTTCTTCGGTGCAAGAAGTGTTCAGGAAAGGATACCAAAAGTTTCAGTCCTAAGAAACTGAAGCATTACGAGTGCACAGTTAACAAGCTCGTCGTTCAGGTACACTTTGATCTTGTTTTCCTTATGAATGCCGTGTTACTTCCACGTTTGAAGTGCGCAAAGGTTTTTATTCGGCGAGGGAAGTTCCGCGCCGCGGATATGTATGTTGCTAAGTTCCCTTCTTGACGGTAGCTAGGAGAAGTTCGAAGAGATTTTCAACGAACTAAACACGTCACCACGTTACAGTTTTGTGAATTCTTCAAGCAAATAACACCTGAATGACACAGGGTGATTGTGTATTCATACAGCAGTGCCGACAAAAAGAGCGCATTCACGGAAAGATTTCTTATTTATGTTCGATCACCGACTGAAAACCGTGTAGAGATTTTGTACCCTCGCATCTGCTGTGTCATGTAGATTAATTCTGAAACGAATTTAGTGCTTTTTAACTAATGCTTGCTGGGATGTTATTCCGTAATTAAACTTGAAATTTATAATATGAAGACAGAAATAATGCAGTTTGTCAAGCTTGTTTGCTGAATCTTGGAGGCAATTCGGAGCTCAAAACAAAACGCAGCGTACAAATCGCCGACGCATACAAAGCTGAAAGCACTACAGCAGTCTTCTGACAAAAAAAGTTTGCAGCGTCTACCGAAGATATATTTCACTTTACCCGTTACCATGTTACATTTTTGTGAAACCTTCAAGCAACCAACAACTGAATGTCACAGACTAATTATATATTCATACAGCAGCAGACAAAAAGAGCGCATTCCAGGAAAGCTATATTATTTATGTTCGAACAATAAGTGTAAACCGTGTAGAGATTTTGTACCTTCGCATCTGCTTTGTTATGTCGATTAATTCTGAAATAAATTTAGTGATTTCTATCTAATACTTGCTAAAGTGTTATTCCGTGCCTCGACTTGAAATTTGTCGCATGAAGACAGAAACAATGCAGTTTGACGAGTACGTTTGCTGAATCCTTGGGGGCAATTCGGAGCTCAAGACGAAACACTTCGTGTAAAAATTGCCGACGCATGCAAAGCTGACGGCACTACAGCCGTCTTCTGAGAGAAGAAAAATTCGGCAGCGTCTACCGAAGGTATATTTTATAGGGAGAGTCTAAAGTCCTGTAGAGACGCCTAGAATTCTAAGAAATCTTGAGAACAAAGGTACGCAGTACTCTCATTCTGAAGAACCTTTTTCTAAGAATCCATCAATATAGATGAGATATAGTTTCTTTGCAATTTAGTTTTACTGTTCAGTCGACTTGTCAACAGAACCACGAAGTAGAGGAACTAGAAGAGAAATTTCAAAATCTTAAGAACAACTAAGCTTGCAGTTTAAAAGAAGACGAAGGTTTGCTTTAATTAAACTAGTTATCAAGGAAGACACGTGATCTTACCTCGACGCTCCGATCTAAATCAAGAGGCGCTCATAGGATTATCGCTACAAATGATTTATATACTGCTCCTGTTGTAACAATGTCTAAGGCACATTTGAAACGATAACTATCCAAGAAACAGAATGCGGATTCTACTCGATGCACATGTCTCAAACATCCGATGATCAAACTATGTTCAGTTCGTCAAAGCCCGCAGAAATGCATATGCTTTTGTTGTAGGCCGATCACGGATTGATTTCGAGTTTCGGGAGTTACTTCTAAAGAGAGAACGAGGCTCTGACTAAAATCGAAGGAGGTTTTTATGACAAAATAACGAAACGGTCACTAACAATAAAGTTTGATTTTAGGCCGAAAATTATAGTTACTAGTAAGACTTGCTATATATGCTTACGGAATGCTTTCTGGAAAATTTGACCCATTTTATGAAATTAATACACTTGAATCGCGGTCAATTATGTAGCTTTGTAAGCTGAGGACCTGATATGATGAACTTTTCTTTTAATTCGAGTCGCAGATATTTTGCGCCAGAAAAGCCGCTCATTTCCAATAACGTTGTGGAGATAATCAGTTTCTTAAGCGAGCAGCAATGGATTTGGAAGTTTAAACCTTTTGGTAAATATTTCGGTGATATATTCGTTGCCAAAAAAGCGTGAGAACCAGGTGAGAGAGACAACAGAGACACAAGATGTGTTTGGAGCGTACAGTGGTAACCCGTATGATATTAAAAAAAATTCATATCGCCTTAACCTCGTTTGTCTTGAGTTTCATCTTTTCTTCAAAAACAAGCAAAAAAAGCATACCCAGTTTCTCTCTATTTGAAAGTTTTTCTATTATCATCTTCACCATTATTGTAATTCTTATCATCATTGTTATAACCATAATTAAAACTATTAAAATCAGGTAGAGATATCTGTTTCACATAATTATTGAACGTCTAAATTCGAAGGACTGATAACAACAAGACCTAAATTTTGTTTCTCAGGGAGCCGTTCATAAAATGGTTAACCCCACCATCACATACCTTGTCTTTGTTGTTGTCACTATACACTGGGTTGAAGGCCAGTTTCCCAGAGTCTGCACTGACCGGGACAGCCTGAGAGACAAGAAATGTTGTCCTGTCCCTAAAGGCTTCAACGCA